CTTCGATGCCGAGCATCTCAAACATCTTCGTCATCTGTTCCAACCATTCATTAGCCTTCAATGGCTCCTTAGGGTCACCCAAAAACTCGTCCGGATTTGACCGGAAGAATTCCTTCTTCAGAAAAGAAGGCCCTGCTTTAGCTACATGGGCCTGGACTTGGTTCTCAGCCCTGAAAATGTCCATAGATTCCCTCAATGCTCCGGTCATTTCACGGGCTAATGCACCCATAGCCTGCTGACCTACTGGCTTGGCTACGTTGGCCTGATCCACTCCTTCCTCCTGCGCCAGAATCTCATTCGGTATAGGCATCTCATGCCTCCTAGGCCTACCATGCCTACCGCCACGACCTTGTCCTGACATCCTAATGAAGGTAACAAAGAGATTAGCACATTTACAAATGTGCCTTTCATTTCTGGATAATGATCGTCCCGTGGCGTCACTAGAGTTCCAGTTAGAAACGCAGTGATCAAATGCCTTTCCAACAGGACTCCTAGAAACCCATAGACCTGATCAACATCCCAGAAATTAAATTTCATACCCAAATAGTCACATAAACATGTTATCATATAAGCACATAACATCATACTTAAGTCTCTAACAAGTGAGATAAACCCATTGTGGTACTAACCACTTCCCACGTACCCAAAGTATTCAAACCCAGTACGCTCTGATACTAAAGTGCTTTCATTTCCTCAATCATGGCAAGTTTCCACTCAGAGGTAGAAAGAGCATCCTGAAAATGGTTAGGAATGCTAACAGAGGAAATATTTGACACAAAAGCTCTATACGAGGATGACAAATGAGAGTAGGACACAAAATTTGAGATAGGATGCTGAGTACAAGATCTTACACCCTTTCTCTTGGTAATAGAAACATCAAGATCAATAGGAGCATCAAGATCAGTGGACTCAAGAGATTCAAAGTTACCTAGACTCTCATCAGAAGTAGGAGATGGCAGTGGGTGAGCAGAAGTGGTCTCTTATATCTAGTTAACTTTCTGTCTGTCTTTGTCCCTGACATAAGTTTGCCCTTCCCTATCCTAGGTGACATTGGGTTCTGTAGTCCTAGTAAGAGGTGGTGGTGCAAGAAAAATTGGTTCCACCATAGGAATCATAAGAATCACTTCACACCAAGGCTTCTTTGAAGGGAGGACTGTGACACGGGAGAGGACAAGAAATAGGACTGAGACTCAAAAAATATGACATCCATGGACACAAACCACTTACGAGAAGGAGAGTGATAACACTTGTACCCCTTTTGAGTAGGAAAGTACCCAAGAAAAACACATTTGAGGGAGCAAGGGTCTAACTTACCTTGAGTAGGAGAGTGATTGTGGACAAAACAGACAGCCAAATATTTTTGGAGGAATAGAAAATAAAGACTCAGAACCTAGGAGGACTTGAAGGGGAGTTTGTTTTTGCAAGACCTGGATAAGAAGACGATTAATAAGATGGGCAGCGATGAGAACAACGTCGCCCCAGTAGGATCGAGGTACACTCATAAAAAAACACATGCACCAAGCCATATCAAGAAGATGACGATTCTTGCGTTTCTCCACCCCATTTTGTTAAGGCGTATTGGTGCAAGAGGCCTGATGGATAATGTTGTGGGCATAAAAATATTGCCCTAACCTAGAATCTATGTATTCCCCCCCATTATTAGAGCATAAGATTTTGACAGTAGCCCCAAACTGAGTACAAATCTTCTTATGAAAATTGCAGAATATAGAGAAAACCTCATTCTTGTCTTTCATGAGATACACCTAAGCAATAAATGTAACAAACCATCGATGACCTTTCATAGACATAACACGAGATGGAGCTTAGACATCAGAATGTATTAATGAAAAAAGAACTAAACTTTTATTAAAACTGGGAGCAAAAGAAGCTCTGTGTTGTTTTCCAAGTTGAAAAGACTCACAAAGAGACTCAAACACATTATTGTTTGCAAAACCAGATAGAAATAAATGCTTAAGTAAATAAAAAGAAGGATGCCCAAGATGCCGATACCATAGCCATAAATCATTTTAGGTAATAGAACTCGTAGTAGAAGAATGAGCAAACTTGTTCGGTTGATCCAGAAAGTAGAGACCATTTTTTGTACTACTACTGCCATTCGTCCTCCTCATGATAAAGTCCTAAAAAATACAATGATCAGTAAAGAAACGTCGCACTACAATTCAAATCCTGTGTAATACGACTCAAGGATAACAGATTAATAGAAAAATTAGGAACATGGAGAACAGAAGATAGGTATGGTAGGAGTGACATGGACTAAACCTTTCCCAGAAATAGAAAAAACAGTACCATCTGTAATCCTAACTTTGTCCTGACCTGAAGAGGGCTTATAGGTAGAGAAAAGGTAAGAAGATCCAGACATATGATCTGAGGCACCATAATCAATAATTCAGGACAAAGACTTATGAGAAAGGAAAACACGAGGAGAAGAGACTAAGTTACCTGAGTGGGCAAACGACGAGGAAGACGTATTGAGAGCAGTAGAAGACTAGCGGTCCAGCAAGTGATGCAGAACATCCTCAAGCTCATAAATAGTCATACCAGAGAGACTATTAGAAGCATGGGCAACGGAAGCGGAAGTAGAATCAAGTGTATCAACAGCATTAGACTGATGGGCCCGTGAATGATAGCCACATTCTTTAGACTGGCCTGACTGACCTCCTCTAGAATCAGACCGATCACCTCGACCCCCAGATGGAGTCCCATGAAGCTTCCAACATGTCTCACAAGTATGTCGCGACTTGCGACAGTAATCATAGAATACAGACTCCTTGGCGGCAGACGGAAGGATGTGAGTCAAGTTAAGGCCATCTCGAGGGGTAGATAGTAATGCTGAACGGTTAGTAGAGACTGGTGACATCATAGTAGACCGGTAACTCTCCTTTCCTGAAGTGAAGGAAGAGTGTCCATACCCAGAACCCGACTCCAAACAAGATCATACTCCACATTGAGGCCTACCAGAAATTTGAAGACCTTTTTCTATGCAATGAACTTCTTGTACCTGATTGAATCAGTGGTGCAAACAAGCTTATAGTCTTGCAGGTGATCAAGGTGTTTCTAGCCATTGGTGAGGAAGGTAAAGTATCGAAGAACAGTTTGCCCCCCTTGAACAGAGCTCTCAATAGAGTAGCGCAACTCAAAGGTCTGTGAGAAGTTCCCTTTGTGGAAATTAGTGGCAGCCATAGCATCCCAAATATCCTAGGTAGTGTCCATAGATAAGTAGCCCTCACCAATTGCTGGTACCATCGAATGAATGAGCCAACCCATAATCAAAGAGTTGGTAATCTCTTATTGGTCATAACCCGGGTCAGTGGTACTGGGTGCCTGTATCTTTCCATCAGCATACCCTATCTTCCCTCTGCTCTTCAAAAAAATAGTCAAACCTGCGACCAAGCTAGATAGTTCTAACCATTAAATGGAGAGGTGATGATTTTATGACTAGGGTTGAGGTTATCAGTCATAATAGTACGTAGAATGGAACTCTCACTCCTAAGTGTCTGAGAAGTAGTGGACACATTGGTGGAATCTGTAATGGATACTGTACTACCAAACCCTCAACAAAACTAGTGCTAATTACAAACCCGGAAGGTGGAGATGGAAGGAAAGACACAACTATCACTATGAAAGCATAAAGAATTAAAAACACATAAAATTTTAATCTTTTTTTTTTGAACGAAATAAAATAAAAGGTGGCATGTCTGTGCTTCTTAGTTCTTGCCAAATAAAGACTATTTCTTTTTATCTGTTTCTCTGTTGACTAATTTAGATCTTGAAGTTGACGTACACTAGTTCAAGTAATGCCATTTTAGCATTAGCATCAAATGCGATGCATCTGCTTTGCAAATGGCCAAATGAAGGCAAGGTAAAAAAAAAATAAATTTATCGTTAATCTGTATGCATGCACGCACGCTCCTCTTTGAATTCAAAGATTAGTTCATGATTGTTATGTTGAGAATTGAGGTTAGTCTTGATGTAGGCAACAATGAAAAATCCTCCTCAATTATGGCATCCGATATCGGGGATATTAATCACAAATGACTTAACTAATGTTAGAACTGAAGAGACCAAACCCTGTTTTGCTTTGTCCAGAAATGATGCTTACCTCATTTCAACATCCGGAGGTCAAGTTTCCTTGTTCAACATAATAACACGTAAGGTATTGTACAATTTTCAAGTGCTTAGGTATGGTTTTAAGTACTTTATTTTTCTGCCTGGGCCTTATTGAAAGACATTCTCACGCTTCTTGTAAACACCTCTTACTGCTTTAAAAGGTTTTTTACATTGCCAATATATATTGCTAGGGAAACACATCGAGGTGTACTTTTGTGTTGCATTTAAAAAAATATTAATTTTGTTTGGAGTAAACTAACCTTTCCTAAATGTTTAAACGACATAGACGATGGCGACTTTCACCTATCCACCGCCTGTGCCAACGTATGTTGCCTTCTATCCTCATAATAATAACATAATCGCCATTGGCCTGGATGATTCGACAGTTCTGATATATGAAGCCCGTGCAAATGAGGTATGATCTTCTTAGTTTGTTTATGTGCAGATTCAATGGTTCTTTCTAAATGGATAATTCAGATGATAAATAAACTTTTTAACCTCTTTGTGCTAAAGGTGAAATCCAAGCTGGAGGACTAAGTCCTCGACAAAGAAGCAAAAGCAACAATGCCACTGCTAATTGGTGGGAGTTGACTCCAGTGCATACATAAGTACGCTTTCTTATGGCACTTTGTTGCATATGCATGAAGTTCACAAAGAAAATGGCACAAGGATGCTCATGAAGAAACAAATCTTAATTAGTAAAATGCATTATGCACTACAACAGTTAATACTATTTCCAGCATGATGGAATGGATAACGAAAAAGGCATCTAGTATAAAATAAAAAAGACTAAGTTGTTATTAAAAAGTATCCTATTTCCTAAAAATTGAAAGAAATAGTTTTGTACGGCCAAACCTGGTATCCAAAAATGTTCAGAATGGGAATCCTTTATGGACATTAATCTTTGACGCTTCTGCTAATCGTTTGACATCTTTTGCGTTTGAGTAAAACTTCATCAGTTCATAAGCATCATCTTTTGGGTGACAATTAACAAATGCCTTAACAAACTGCTTCTCTTTCATTCTCAATGCCCTCAACATTACAGGTCCTTTAATTTGTGGAATTAGGGCCATATCTTGTATCTTTCTTGCCAGAAGAACCCGTGGCTTTAACACAGCTTCCAAATTGCAGAACAGCAGAAATGGGTGACCAAGGACCACGCTGGTTGGTAGTTTCATTGTGCCTAATATGAAAGTCATATTCCGTTGAACCTTGTCAATAGATAGATTTAATATGAGAGGATAACGTCCAAAAAGGCCAAAAACCTCATCTTCCGAAAACCCAAACTTCTCAAAGTTTGCCAGCTTTTCACAGATTGTCTCAATGCGTAAGATAACAATCAGGATGACAACATATTTGTACATTTTGGAATTCTTGGAGATGCCAGTCTTGCGAATGTAATCCAACTTCCCATCATTGAGAGAGGTTCGGGGAATTAAGGTGGGACGAGATAGAAGCATTGGTATTAAATCCTTCCTACTAACACCCAATTCATTGTATGTGGCAATGACGGGTTTCATTTTATTATGGAAGTCATAGGTGAGGAGGGAAGGGTTTCGTGTAATTGCTTTCACAACTACCTCCCTTGACCCAAACAATTCTAGTAGAAATTCTAGGCGCTCACCAAAACAGTGATTGATGCGACAATTGAACAAGTGGGGGCGATAATTAATGACCTTGACAAGGCCGAAACAATTGAGGCCCAACGCACTAAGTAAGTTGAGTTTGGATTGAAGGTTGGCAAGACCAACTTTACGCAAAGTAGGCCTCCGGTGAAATATTTGTAATATATCAACATCATTGTAACCCCACATCCATAAAACATCTGTGGAGTCCTTTGGGAAGCCTTCAACCTCTTGTATTGCTACTTTTCCATGTAGGGTTTCGCCTAATGGGGATGGTGCCGTGGTGGTGGCAAAGGTGGTCCAGTACCGGCAAAGCTTCAAAATTTAGGGTTTTGGAGAGGGAGAATCAAAGGCTAAGGGGACGAAGATTTTAGGGATGCAAAATAGGAAACGAAATTGGATAACAGCAGCATTGAATCTAGCTTTCATATTAGGATAGGATGAAATTGTTGAATCACTAGCACTGAGTCAACAAATAAATAAGAACATCATCACTATAAAATGGAAGAAAGTGGTCGTTCTAGGTTAAGGTGAACATTGAGTGATGACACAAACAATAAGCAACAACAGATTAAATCATTCATATCATTTGTTACATAAATTACACTTTTTCTCAATAATCTATGTATAGCACATTGAAAGGATGATCTCAATCTCAAATCAAAACGCAGAGATGAAAAACAAACTTGAAAATTGAAATACACAAAACAACAATCTTCAGTAGAGAGAACTGACAAACCCAGAGAGCTACAGCCAATTCCTTCGCGACGGCCCACTCAATCCAGTCCAGTGAGAAGAGTCCCCTCTCAGTTCATTTTATCAGTTGATAAGAGGAAGGAATGCCATAATAATAATAATAAATTCATTTCCAGCTTTTAAATTACTCTTTCAAAAACGTTAGAAATTCTAAAAATTTTACTAAAATTTTTATTAAATGTCCCACACATGTGAGACTCACACGGAACCTACATTGTATGAATCCTATATCTGAGACATTTGATAAAACAATAATGATAGAGAGCTCTAGAGTTGAAACTCTAGTAAAAAAAACGCAAAATCATAGGCCAAAACATCAAATCACGTGGTGGAGCCCATCTCTAAAGCACCCTCTAGAGCTCCCAAACATTCTCTTTGAAAAAATTTTAATAAAATTTTTAAAATCTCTAATATTGCTCTTATTTTTTATTTTATCAATTGTTAAATGAATTGAGACGTAGAATGTGAGAAATTAAATTTTTTGATACAACTCAAGTTTCAAAAGAAATTTTTTTACAAAATTTGTCATAGAGAGAGTGACCTACTAGTTGAATTGGAACAATTTATTTTTAAAAAGAACTGTCCATCAAGATAGTTTTTAATTTCAAAAAACGTCACAATTATATAAATTAGTGTATGTTTGAGTTATTTTTATGTAAAATTGGAGTGAAATTCTACTATGCACACTCCTTAGGTTATGCATCCTTAAATTATATTTTTTTTTATTTTTTATTTTTTTTATAATCAATTTTCTTTATTAGTTATGATCTTATTTTAGTTATAACTCATGAGATTCTTGATTATGCCTTATATGTTGTTTGATTATAACTTTTTTATTTTTTTAAATTTTTAATTATGACTCAAAAAGTATAAGATTATACTATTTTCTTTTTTAGTTATGAAATGTATACGGTATATATTTTTTGAGGGATATGTGTCATAGCCTTTCCCCTTAGACTTTTCTTCTTAGATAAATAATCATGAAATTTCAATATAATCAATTAATACATATTGACCCACTAAACTTGAAATATTATATGCCATAAAGTACAATAATAGTCTTTAATACTAGGTTTTGGTCTATTAATTCCCCCACTCTCTTAATTGGAGTAGAATGGCAAGTATTAACTTAGGCAAGATGGGTTAAGTTTAAAAAACAGTATTACATTCATTTGTAGAAAGTTTGAAAAACTCCATTTGATTTACATACAGTCTGAAAAGAAAAGCATTACTCGATACATAACTGAAGATTTTGCTTAAGAATAAATCAATAAATTATAGAAACCAAACACATAACTGTAACAATAATGTAATGAGAAGAGAAGGATTGTAGACCAAAGTGCTTGCAATAATAGTTCGTGTAATTTCCAGTACACAAAAACATAGTTACAATATTTGAGATGCTCAAATGGTGAGGATTCTATACTCCTCTCCTTCTAACTATCCATATAGTAATTCTACTCTCACTTAATTCTTCTTGGAACAGAAACAAACATTTGTGCTCTCAAAACTACTTTCATTTGCAATTTTGCATACCACCAGGATTCCAAATGATTCCTCCATCCACCGGTTTCTTTCAAATATTCCTCCAAGTTCCCTTATTATGTACGGTAACACAAAAAGATTTTGAGTCATATTGTTGACACTAAAAATTGTATATTCTCTGTCGATTGTATGTAACAAATGCAGAGCATTGGTCCAGTGGATGCTAGGTTTAAAGACTACGAGTTTTCACAAGTTTACAAGTGAAAAGTGAGTGAATATAAAGCCTAGAATACAGAGCAAGTGACAGAAAGGAAATAGTCAAAGAGATAGACGTGGCAGTTGCAGTTTTCTTGTCGATTCGTCTAATAATGAAGTGGAACGTGGCCAAACATGGCCCAGGCGGAAAGCCATAAAGTTAGCATGCAAGGCATATAGGATATGTGTCATGTTTCCTAGAAAGAGAAAAGCTGCAACAGAGAAGCAGTTTCTGGCAGTTGCAGAGATCATGGGCATTGAAGTGGAAGTAGCTGGCTATATGATGGGACACGTGGCAGCGGAGCAGCAGTGGAGTTTGAAGACCAGCAATATAAAAGCTGGGAATTTGAAGTTAGAAAAGATCTTCAAACAAATTTACAACCCTTATAGCATTAGGAGTAACTTAACTTAGTTAGTTCTTACTTAGGAGTAGTCTATCTGTAGTTCAGTTTCTGTAACTAAGAATTCTCTGTCGATTGTCATGTATATTGAATTGGAAGTTTAATTTTACTGATTAAATTCCAAGTTTGTTTGTTCAACAATTGATTTTCAGTTTATTCCTTCTTGTTTCTTCGCATTACAACCTCCAAAGAAGTTCTTGAATCTATCAAGGCATAGAACGTTCAGACCACAATTGCTTGATTTGTTGTTGTTTGGAAAAGTTTAGCTTCCCTGTCGATTTGGCCCAGACCAGATTTTTTGCTAACATATTTTGGCACGCCCAGTGGGACCTGTCTAATTTGGAGTGATGGCTAGGAAAAAACAGCATGAAGTCTTTGAAGATCCTGAGAAAAGGATCGAAGATGAAGAAGAGTTGGACGATGGAATTGAAGGAGTACAAGCCAACTTAACTGATGGCCATTCAGTGGCCAGGCAAGAAATAGGCCAAGGAAATGGCCAAAATGTGGCCAATCTAGTTGTCCACCAGTTGATCCAAGAAGGGCTCTTTTGCTGCATACCCAGCAAGCAATTGGTTCCATGTCAGCATATGAGAACCAAGTGATGATTGATGACTTAATGGCTTTGTTTGAAAAAACCAACATCAAGCCCAGTCAATCAAGAAAGAATGGAGAGGAAGCATAAGGGAAAAAAACACAACCTAAGTCCTAAATGACCCCTCAACAACATGAAAAAGTAAGTGAACCTCTATCATTTTACAGACCTCCTACACTCCAAGAGAGATATGAGGAGGGAATAAACATAAATCTAATGTTTGAGAGGGAACAACCCACATATCATACAAACCCAGTGTTTAATTACAATGTAAATAATATGGGAATGAGACCTGGAGGGCAACTAAGGTCACAAATGTATGATAATCTTGCATTTGAAGGGTCTGGTTATCAGGCCATGACAGAATAGAGAAATAGGCCATTTAATCAAGTAAGGCCTCAAGATGCAAGGGATTTTACCATGCCTCAACCATATTTTGAACCCTACATGAGGCATCCAAGGCCTAGGGGGCTTGGTCTTCCTAATCCTTACTTCTAACCAGAGGTTGAAGGAGGAGGGCAGCAACGACAATACTTAGAACCTCAAGTCAACAGACAACAAATAATGAACATCATACAAGAAATGTATGGTCCAGGCTTGAGAAGGCCAGATAGACCAACGTTTAGGAGTCCTTACCCTCTATGGATGGAAACATTCCCATTCCAAGGAATTACAGAATTCTTGAGTTTATTTTGTTCACAGGGGAGGAAAGACAATTAACCATAGAACATGTGGGCAGATTCATACTCTAGTGTGGAGAACCTGGTTATGATGATAATTTAAAGTTAAAGCTCTTTCCTCATTCTTTGTTGAAAGTGACATTTACCTGGTTTATTAACTTGCCAGAGAACTCTGTTCACACTTGGCAAGACATGGAGAATCAGTTTCATGCTCAGTTCTTTAAAACTGAACCTGAAGTGACAATGGTGGACTTGTGAAAATTTAAACAAAGACAAGGAGAAAGTACAGAACAGTACATTGACAGGTTTAAAAAAGCAAAAAACCATTGTCATGTATACATGCTTGAAATAGAAATAATAAGATTAGCCCAAAATGGTTTAGATTTTGAGCTTAGGAAAATTTTTGGAGGCATGATGTATAGGGATTTATTTGAGTTGTCTTCAAGGGCAACTAGTTATGAGGTCATTCTCAGAGAAGAACAACATAGAAATGCAGCATCACTGGGCACTTATTATCAAGAAGTCGAATTTGACATGGAAGTTGACATAGATGTTGCCCAAGTAATAGGTAAAAAACCTATGGTTTGTGAGACATTAAAAAAGACAGACCAACCTATGAGCATGCTAGCAACACAACCCGCCAAAAAGAATGTGGCTATATCACATAGACAATATTCTTTTGATTTGTCTAAAGCAGATGCATTATTTGATGAGTTATTAACAAATAAGTTTTTAACTTTAACTCGAGGCCACAACATTCCTAAAGAAAGGGACAGAGTTGGCAAGGAATATTGCAAATGGCTTAATTCTTTCAGACATTTTACTAATAATTGTGTTACATTTCGCAATTGCGTGTAGGATTTAATTCAGAAAGGGATGTTGAAATATGCCGAGAAAGATAAAGGGGTAATGGCAGTTGACAGTGATCCATTTCCTAGTATGGTGGAAATCAATATGGTGGCTACTGATCAGAAGAAAAAAGGGAAAAATCCTAGAGTTCTGCTGGTGGAGTTAGAAAAA